ATAGGAGTCGATTTTGGGTGATCTAGTTAGAAGGGCCGTAGTGGGGGTGCTCAACGTTATCCCTCTAAACTGGCCAAACCGTGCATGCTTCGAACCAGAGACTCTTTAATTAATTAGCCTTGTTTGGCAGTTGTTTAGTACCTATTTGATTTTAGTTTAAAATTAGATTTTTAATAAAATTTTGATAAAAAATAATGAAATATATTATTACAAAGTTGATCAAAATTGTAAATTTCAAGAAACTCGCAATTAAATTAATTGTTGATTTTAATTTAAATTTTTATCAATTATTTTAGCTAAATCAAACATGAGCTTAAATCTGTATTGTCCATTTATACTCTATTCATAAGGATGGTTGAAAGTTGTTTATAACCACTTTAACTTATAAAAAAATTGATAATATTTGTAGGTCGTATGAAATTTGTAAATAAAAAGTTATTTGACTGATTCTAAACAGATTGAAAAAAGCACTTATAACTTAACTATTTATAATCATCTACCAAACAAGATTTAATTTTCACCTCACTTATTCGTATAGTTAATATGACACATTTTTTTCCTCTAAAGGCTGTGAGCATGGTGTAAAGTGAGAAAGTGTGTAAAATTTAACCATTTTTTGCATATAAGAAGTTTATTTCCCATTTGATGTTAAATTGAATTCATTATGAGTGCGAAGTGTATTTACCATACACATGTAATTAGAGGTGTCAGACGGACGAACTAGCCAAACCCGTGAAAATCGACCCGGATCTACCAGGGACCGCGGGCCGACCATGACCCGAGCGGGCGGTTCACGGGTCAAGAAAGTGTGACCCGCGCGTGTTGCATCTTCACGGGCCGCGTTTAACCCGCGGCCCGTGAAAAAAAAATTTAAAAGGAGTTGTGACCCACGGGCTTCCCGGTTTCACCTTCACGGGCCGCGAATTTTAAATTTGAAATATATAATTTTTGAACAAATATATAAAATAAAATAATTGAAATGGGGATATACAAATATTAAAATATATAATTTTTGAACAACTAAATTATAGTTAAGACTTAAGTAGATGCCAACCTAGTTGAGATGTACTTAAACTATAAATTATAATAAAACTAGGTATCAACCTAGTTGTGATGTAATTATACTATAAATATTTGATAATAATAATTAGAAATGCATTTAATTGTTATTTGTTTAAATTAAATTAACTTTTCAAAGTTATAAATAATTCATGTAATATTAAATTTGAATTCTATGTAAACATTTGTTGGTATAAATATGAATTTATTATTTTGTTCAATTCTTAGTTTACATTTAACAAAAAAAAATATATTTTGCTATAAACATGAAAAATCTATATTTTTATAATTTTATTTATACAATAATACGGGTCANCTATAAACATTAAAAATCTATATTTTTATAATTTTATTTATACAATAATTCGGGTCAAATCGAAACAAATCGAGACCCGTGACCCGCATGAGCTCGACCCGGATGGGTCAGCGGGCGGGTTTCGGTTGTATTCCAAAATTTGTGGGCCGACCCGGAACCTGTAGCGGGTGAGCTTTTTTTCACGCGGACCGTTGCCGGGCTCATATGTTGGCGGGCCGACCCGGCCGGGACCACCAGATTGACACCTCTACATGCAATGGAAGAAAATCTTCTTCCACTATAGCTAAGTTAAAAACATTGATAATCACTGATTATTATTATTTTTCGTTGTCTGTTACTAGATTGTTTGGGCACTTTTTCGCCCCACGAATTTAGCTTTATAGATATCTTATAACCATATTGTAGAATAGAAACAAAAATCTTGATTTGATTGTGTACTTGTGGAATGGAATATTTAGGAAAGTAGCTAAATGTCATAATACAAGTAAGTCAAATACAAGTAATTCTTATCAATCATACATTTTTTTAATAAAATAATATTACACGTAAATTTAAAAAAATTCATTCTTTTTTAATCACATATTCTCAAAAAATTACTATTTCCCTTATTATAATTTAAAAAATGGGGCCCAAACATGGACATAGATATAATGAATAGTTTGAATGTATTTTTAAGAGTGCCACTATTTACATTCATGATTGTTTCATATTTATCACACTCTATATTGCATCCACCTCACTTATTCGTATAGTTAATTGACCTATTTAACAAAGTGAAAATTGGATCGAAACAGAGCTCTCGAAAGACAAAATTGCATATATAGTGTTTGGAATGTAATAGGCGTTAAAAAGAGCTCTTTCTCACTAAAGGCAAATTGCTCATCCGAAGGCAAAAATAAAATAAAATAAAATTCTAGATATGTAATTTAACACGTAAAACTAAGATATAAGTATTTACTTTTAATAATTAGTTAAAGAATAATGTTATTCATCGGTACTGCTCAACCATAAGGGATGATGTAACATTTAGTAAACAGATGAATATCATTACTAATGGCTAAAAGTCCCGAATCTCCCGATGAACTAATTGACACAAATTTTCAATTACTTAAGAAGTGCGGTCCAATTTTAATAATTATGGAAGTAACGCACGTAATAACGATCTTAAAAGAGAAATTTCTATTGTGTGGCTCATGCATGGTGACGATTGTGCCCATTTCTGCTACCTCATCCCGCATGTGCGTGTGTAGATTTTGCGTGCACTCACAGTTTTGGAACATTGTACCCCACCTTCTTTTGACAAGCCTATTTCTAAATACATGCATTTACTTTTTTCTTTGGGTAATTTCCAACTATATATTCATCTCAAAATTCAATTTAAAAACAAATAATGAAGAAATTTGTTCGAATTTATATATATTACCTCTGTTTGGTGGAAAATCAAATATTTTGTAAGTCCCATAAAATGAACGATTGATTTAGATTAAAATTAAAATTAAAATTTTCGTCCTATCTTCGGATAGGGGCATTAAATATGACAAATTTCAATAAGGGCGTGTTCGGTAGAGATTAAAATCGAATTAAAATTGAAAAATTAACTGTTATTGTTAACTTTTATTAGACGAGTGAGACCCAATAACGACTATATTTTCAATTTTAATTGGATTTTACTATTTACCAAACGAGCAATAAATTTCTTTTAAGGCTATATCATGTCAAAAATAAACCTATAGAACTTGTTTGATTTTTATTTTTTTAAAATACATTCTCTCTCTCTTCTTTCAAACACATATTTTTCAATAAAATAATATTACACGTAACTCGAAAAAATTACGCGTTCTCCATCAGTCCACTATTCTAAAATGCATTCGACACAAAAAATGAGATTCAAACATACCCATAAAATAAAATATAAAATAGATGTATAAATGTGATTAGATTATCTGGCCCATCCATCTTTTCACCAAAATGTATGTAATCACGATACCTTCAACATTAATGTTACCAAGCCGTACACGTCAAATGTGAATAATCTTACATGATCACTTATTTTGAATATCAAATTTCAATCATTAGTGTAAAGATCACTTATTTTGAATATCAATTTTCAATCATTAGTGTAAAGACCATAGTACACATCCAAGAACATATGTTTAACAGAAATACAAACCAATAGCTTATATATTAGAACCTGATTGTTTGTTGTAACTTAAAATTAGATAAAAATTTAAAGTTAAAATTAACAATAAACGGGACGGGTAGCTCCCCATCCCGTTTGGGGAGGGGTCCCAAAACGGGTTTTTTTGTCATCCCTAATTGGAGCGAAAAAAATTCCGATCAGTTTATACATGTTCAAGTAGTCTGCACATGCGTAGATCTAGATNAATAGCTTATTTATTAGTCCCTGTTTGGTTGGTGTAACTTAAAATTTGATAAAAATTTTAAGTTAAAATTAACAATTAATTTTAATCGCATATTTTATTGGATTCACAATTTTTCAACTGCACATTCCATCACACTTTATCAAAACTTATTAAAAATATCATTTTTATCTAAACTAAAATGAGTTAGGCTGGATTAAAAGCGACGATATGTACGCGTGTGTCCAGACTCCATTTTTCAAAATTTATTTTTTATCACACATTCCCTTAATAAAATAATTTTGCGCACAAACTCAAACTTTTTTCTTATTTTTTAACCACAAATTCTCTAAAAAAAATACATTTTTCATAAAATCTATTTTAAAAAGTGGAGCTCAAAGAGGGACTCGATTGATTTTTATTTGTTATTCAGTTTAATCTCACCAGCTTTGATGTATCATCCATGCTACAAATGTACATTAAACAATCATCCATATTTCAAATGAACTTAGGTCATTTCTTACAAAAGAATACATGGAAGCACAGTAATATTTATCCTTTCCTTGCACAAGTTGCTATCTAGTTAAGATCCAAACATGATTAATTTTGTTAGACCCTATTTGGGTTTATTTTATTAAGTTGTTTTTAGAATCGAAGGGAGGTGGTTCCTGAGTATTTTCGTAAATTGTGTTTGGGCATCTTGAATTTTATTTAACGTTGGTCGATGCTATTGAAATTCTATAAAATAATTCACAACTGGGCTTGATGATGAATTTGACACTTAGTTCACATTCATTGTCGGTGCAAATTATGTTTTGAGTTCATTAAAATCATACAGAACGGATATTGATTTCTCTAATCGATAGAGACAATCTAAGTCATGGGGGGATGCAAAACCTAAACTTTAACATATAACAAAGGAATGTTTGTGAGTAATGACGTTGAGGTGTGGGTTGTGTATACTCCATAGCTTCATGCAATCTTAATTTGAGACTTCATTATCTAAGCTTTATTCCCATACCTTTTCAATTTCTCAAGTTACCTCTATTCCACGTGCATACACTTCTGCCATGTAATAAATACGAAAAAGAAAAAAATGGAAAAAAAAATCATGTCTAGACCATCTCTCTCTATAAATACCACGAAGTAGTGAAGTGAATCATCCAAGAACCAATCAAATTATGCAAAATATGGCCTCTTCTTTGTTAACTTGGTTTATTATCCTATGGTGCATCTGGGGGAGTCACAGTAGAGCAGAATCCATAATGGATAATGGGCTGTGCTTTACTGCTTCAGATGATTACAAAGATGCACTAAGCAAAGGCATTTTGTTCTTTGAAGGTCAACGTTCTGGGAAATTGCCTGAAAACCAGAGAGCTAACTGGAGAGGAGATTCTGCACTATCAGATGGCGAGCTTGAAAATGTATGAATCTTTATATATCTTTCATCGTGAAAAATATTTCACGTACATCTCGTGTAGTACTCGATACTAAACATGGAAGATCGGCCAATATTATTCTTAATATGACGTTTATATTTTGGATATTTTGTACTTCAACATTCCAACACCATGTTTTATAAAGAATGGCAAGTTAAGTAACTCTTGTTCAAATACCTAACCGACTAGAAATAGGGAGGTTTTTGGTGTATGATCTTCTTAGCTAGGTAGTTAACCGAGCCTTTGTTTGGTTTTGCTAAAAATCAGATTTTAAACAGATTTTGATAAAAACTGATGAAATGTTCGATTAAAAAGTTGATAAGATGTGTCGATCCAACGAAATGTATGGTTAAATAATTGTTGAATTTGATATAGATTTTTATCAACTTTATTAGCTAAACAAAACAAGGGCTAAAAGAAGATGGACATAAGTTTTCATCACTTGAGGGCGGCCATGATTATCATGGTACTTCATTCGAGGGGGAAGTGTTAATTTTCTAACGTTCAAACTAAAGTATCATTTTCTTACAACAAATTTGTGTAGTGCCTCTCCATTTTATCCAATCGGTTCTAATTATTTTTTGGTCGCAGGTGAATTTGACTGGAGGATACTATGATGCCGGTGACAATATCAAATTTGGGTGGCCAATGGCATTTTCTGTCTCTTTGTTGAGTTGGGCTGTCACTGAATATCAGACTGAGATCTCTGCCGCCAACCAGCTAGGCCATGTATGCAGCGCAATCCGGTGGGGAACAATGTTCTTACTCCAAGCACACGCTTCATCTACCACACTATATACTCAGGTGACTTATTTAAACTAAAAGTTTGTTTCCCTTGAAGTTTAGAAAAGTAAAGGTAAGCTCTAGCCCGGGACAGGTCGTGTCAAGTTTAATAGATCTAGACTCTTGGTCTGAGCGACGAATTTTTTTATTTTTGAAAATAACAAAAGATATGTCTATAGGTTGGGGATGCAAATAGAGATCATCAATGTTGGGAGCGTCCCGAAGACATGGACACTCCTCGGACACTTTACAAGATTACGTCTAGTTCTCCAGGAACCGAGGTGGCAGCTGAGGTTGCTGCTGCCCTTGCTGCTGCATCAATTGTTTTTAATGTGACTGATTCCGAATATTCTGCCGAGCTGTTACGCCATTCAAAATTGGTAAGTTCAACTAGTGCTGGACATGGTCCGATTCGGAGAGAACCGAACCGAACCAAACCAAATTAAACCAAAATTTTTGGGTATTTAATAAAGAAACCGTGGGGGTCCAAATATGATTATAGAACTGTTAAGATTCGGTTCGGTTCAACTCGATTCGGTTCAGTTCTATTCGGTTCAGTACCATAATTAAATTTTTTAATATTTACAGCAACACTACATAAATACAACTAATAACATGTTCATTCGTAACTTTTACAAATTAACGTGATACAATTTAAAAATATATAAATAACAAGTTGTCCAATAAGATTAATTCAATGCATACAAATACCAAAAAGTAGATATTAATACTAAAACATCGGTGATCCATATCAATAATTCATTTGCTTCAAGCTGCGTACATATAAAAATGAAATATAAAATGACGTTTCATTCGTAACTTTTACAAATTAACGTACCCCAATTCAAAAACATATAAATAACTAGCCGTCTAATAAGATTAATTCAATGCATACAAATACCAAAAAGTAGAAATTAATACTAAAATATCGGTGCTCCATATCAATAATTCTTTTGCTTCAAGAAGCCTACATAAAAAATGAAATATAAATTAAAAATTATAAAAATAAAATATTTTTAAGTATTGGGGTGTGTTTGAGCCACTTTATTTTGGAAGAATGTATTTTGGAATAATAGATTGATGGACAATGTGTGGTTGAAAAAGAAGAAAAAATTATTGATATGATGAAAAATTTATTTTATTGAAAACTGTGTAGTTGAAAATAAGTAAAAGAATGAAAATAAAAATTTTAATTTTAATGTGGCTCAAACATGGGCTAGTAATACTTACCAATATTTGATTTAATTATTAATTGCTTGATTTGTCATACTAAAAAACTCTACAAACATAATTGAAAAGACATAATTAACAAAAACAAATAAACTAAAAATTGTTCAACTAATTATTTAATTTTCTAATTTGTTTTAAAAAATTAAAATTTTTTAATTAATTCAATATAAAAAATTTTAAAAATTATTTAGATTCGGTTCTTATTCGAATCTTCGAATTTTGGTCTAGAATCAAGAACCGAACCGAACCCATCGATTCTCAATTCAAATACATGTTCGGGTATTTAACTTATGAAGAACCGCTCGACTCGATTCAATTTGGTTCGGTTCAATTCAGGAGTTTAGTCGCTTAACTAATCAAAGGTTTATTTTTCAATCTTCGTTAGCTATTCGAGTTCGCAGACAAGTTTAGAGGATCTTATCAGGGTTCTTGCCCATTCTACTGCTCTTACTCGGGTTATCAGGTAAAAACCCAGCACCCGCTTACTTTTTTATTCTCTCTCTCTTTTTAGAGGATTATTTGGGCTCACAATTTTCTCAGGATGAGTTGCTCTGGGCTGCTACTTGGCTCTACAAAGCGAGTGGAGATAACAGCTATTTGGACTACGCAGCGAGCAATGCCGGTTGGAGTCAGGCAGTTTCCGAGTTCAGCTGGGATAACAAATTCGCCGGAGCTCAAACTTTACTAGCAAAGGCATGTAGTACAAGTTTTTTACGTAGAATTAGATAACACGTTAATTATTATTATTATTATTATTATTTTCTTTTTTAGTATTGTCTAGTATGGGACTTGGACATTAACAAGATAGGATCTTGATCAGGAATTTTTGGAGGGAAAGACAAATTTAGAAAAGTATAAAACTTGTGCTGATTCGTTTGTATGTGCATTGATGCCAGGAAGTAGCTCTCTTCAGATTAAAACAACACCTGGTAAATATCAAAATTGAATTGCTGACGTCTGAAATTCATGAATAAATCATTATTCTGTGATGAATTAATTAATTTTTTTTATTTAAATTTTCAGGGGGGCTGCTTTATATTAGAGACAGCAGTAACTTACAATATGTTACTGGCTCTTCGATGATACTTCTCGTCTACTCCAAGATACTAAATTCCGCTGGTGTTCATGGAGTACAATGTGGTTCAAAGGATTTTTCGACCTCTACTATCAAAGCCTTTGCAAAATCACAGGTCACTGAAATCTTACAATTATACGATGAAATGCGAGCAAAGAAACATGCCTTGTCTAATATTATGTACCAAACATGTTGATTTTGTTTGTGTTTCAGGTCGACTACATACTAGGAAACAATCCTATGAATATGTCATACATGGTTGACTTTGGGACCAAATTCCCAACACAATTACACCATAGAGGTGCATCCATTCCTTCAATTAAAAATCAACCAGCCAAGGTGGGTTGCAATGATGGGTTTTCAACGTGGTATTCTTCAAGCCAGCCCAATCCAAATACTCATACTGGGGCAATTGTTGGGGGCCCAGATTCAAATGACCAATTTAGTGATTCAAGATCAGATTATTCACATTTAGAGCCCACAACTTATATGAATGCAGCTTTTGTGGGATCTTTAGCTGCTTTGCTTGGAGAAAGTAACGAAGAGTGTGTGTATAGTGTGGTTGATGATCTACAGATTCATCATCAATAATGTGTTTAGTATGTTGAATTGAACAAAATAATTTATCAGCCGGGCGCCTCCGTATCTTATTCCTTCCAATCTAATCTAGCAGGTCGAAATATACAATATTAAAAAAAGTCTGTCATAGGTGTTAATTGTTGTGTAATAATTTTAGATTGATTTGTAACTTGTCGTGCAATGAAAATCAACAAATCTTGTTCACGTAACTTGCAAATCATCACAACAAAAAGTGCAGGAGGGAAGAAAAAGAAAATTACTTGTTGTAGGTGTGTAAAATATAAATTTAGTTCCTTCTTGGAACAGAAATATGAATTTAATATTTAGCACAATAATAAAGTGATGGCAAAATGCCCTTGCTACACCCTGTCGTGGAATCGGGTGGGGACGGGAAAATGATCCGGTACGAAATCTTATTTTTTGTTTTATTTTTATTATTTTTATGTTTTTAAATTTAAATTTTATTTTAAAAAATAAAATTAGAAAAAAAAAAATAAAGAGAAAATCATGGATAATCACCCATTCTATTTCCACAAAGGGAAAAATACATAATTATAATACTTTACAATTTGAAATGTTTGAGAATCTTCATTAGCCCCATCCAAATCTGAAACCGTTTAACAAGAGAGAAAATACATTGCCCACCCATTTCCTCGCCATTTCCATCAGATTCACTTTGTCTAGATAGCCCATTGTCACTTTCAATTTCCTCTACCACCTGCGATGGCGGAGCCCTAATTTTGGTGACAAAGAAGAAGCCAAGTCGCAGGCTATAGCTTTATTCACTTGACAATAGGAACGACCAACAGAGTGGACCTCGTGTTCACTTTGAGTCTTCCACTAGTTCTTCCATGGTTGATAAGGATACAAATGATGTCCTTTTGGATGCATCAGATTTGTCTAATTCTTTTGGAAGACGAGTTGGTGGTGGTGGTGGTGGTGTTATTGCGAATTTGACACGTACACGTATTTTCGATCGTATTCTTAAATTATACATTCAAACTTGAAATTGTAAAATGTATTAGGCATGATACAAGAACAAAAGAAAAAGTCTAAATCACAAATATGATTAGTCACAATCACAAATGTGTTTCATAATTTATAATATCTCAACATGTTATAATATTTCATAAAATCTCAGCATGACTGTGACCTATTGTGATATGATTTAGGAGTCGAGCCTGACGAGAACAAGTTTGGAACGAGATCCGTTGATTATCGAAAGAGGCCCGATGACACGTTCGAGGGCAAAGCGGGTGAAAGAGACAATGAGATTGTTTACTCAAGCTATGGTGGACGAAATTTCAAAGTTAAGAAGTCAAAGAACAAGTTTCACGTTGGGTTCGGAAGAAGAAACCACATGGATCAACTCGATTCAAGCAGCAAACGAGCAGTGTGGATGAAAACGGGCATAACTTTCAGCTCGATTGTCGAACTTTTGCCTATGAGTACATTCCAAAAATGGCATGAAATTCTACATAAGGCTACGTGAGCGTATGATACTTTTGGGCTTGCGATTCCACAGAAACATGCCAAAACAATTTGGCAAGAACTTTAATTTTTTCGTGAATTTACTTGTTACACTATAATTCTATTTTATTTCCAATTTTACAATATTTTGTAACATAATT